TGGGTGTTCCTGTAAGCCCCTTGAGACTTCTAATTGGTTCCTTTGTGAATCCTCCCTAACCCTATAAATGTAACATTCCCAACAATAAACCCTCTCTTGCCTCCTCTCCACGCCCGGTGTGCTGTCTCTGTGCCTGCCATGGAGCCACGTGGGTGCTGGGGGGAGGGGAGGGCACCTCTCCCCTCCAGGCTCGGGCCCTGACAAACCCTGTCGCTGGAGTTCCCTTTCCCCCTCCCTCAAGACGTCGGAATGGTTCTTCAGATGGAGATGGAACTAGAACTGGGCTCCACCACGTTGTGGGTGGGGAAAGGGATCCAGAAATAACTCCTGGAAATGGTATATAAGTCTTCATAAATTTAGTTGCCTCTTGAAAATCAAAACACGACTCTCCTGTTCACTATATCAACGCAGTGATTGGTAGGATCCACAAAGCAAACCACAGTATCTTTCACACAAATTTAAAATAAGCGTTGTATTTAAAACAAATTGATGCATAAGAAAATGTGTTTTCATATTTTGAAGGATGAATTTTTAATAACTTAATTAAAACTTCATAAAGGAAAGAATCATTACTTGTTACACACTCCAAGTCCATCTATATCAAACGTATCTCCACAACAGCCCTCTATATGTATATTAATGATGCCATCAGATGCTTAAAATACATGCCCTGAATAATACATATTATTTAAATTAACTCCCATTCTTAATGTTCTCAAGGAAAAGTGAAATCAATCAAGTGATAAGTCAGGTTCACTCTCAGTTATTATCATTTCAGTATTATTATTTATTATTAATACAAATATCAGTGATCAGTATGTATTTACAAGTGATCTCATTGAATCTATTCAGAATCCAGACATTGCAAGTCATATCAACATTGTAGAACAATTCAAGGCTCAATGAGCAGAAAAATCTCTGCCACCTTGACAAGAAACTGGCTTAGACGACTTACAAAACTGATGACCTCTCATGGTTTGGAGAATTATCATTCTCTCTTGCTGCTGGTACAAAAATCTTTTCAAAAGAAATGAGAAGTTTTCATTGACTTCAACTGTCCTGCAGGACAGAGAGGCCAAGGAATAGGCCAGGCCATCATGGTCTTGAACTGTAGTAACAGTGTAGCAGCTGATCAATGGGTTACGCAGACCTTGCACATTTGAGACATCCCTCTTTGATGTCATGCAGCTACACCTGGTCTCTTTCAGATGATATCAAAAGTTCAGTGGTGCTTGAGAAAAAATATCTTGAGTGGGAGCAGCAAGTCTGTTATCTAAAGAATTGCCCATAGTTAGCTAATTGAAGATGCAGAGATAGTTGCTTCTATCTCAATGTATGTAAGTAGTTAAGTGTAGTAGGCAGAGAAGGGACTAGAGAAAAATTGCAGAAGGGACATAAAAATAGATACAATCAAAACAGAGGATTCTTTTGGGGAACAGGATTTGAGGAACCAAGAGAACTTAGGGGTAGAGGATATTGTAGCAAATCTTAAGAAAGTTATCATCACTTTCTTCATACCTCCTACACAGTCCAAATTTCCAAGATTTTCCAGGGGAAGGTCACATGATTTGATGGGCGAAGTAGATGCTCTAGCTATTAATGTAATTCATCTGTAGGATGAGACTTTACTTCTTATTTATGGAATCAATATCTGTGATATCATATGATATTCCCTGTAAAAGAAGGGTGGGCTTATCGAGTTATCCAAAGCGCTTGAAAGCCTGATTTTATTTGTCAGACATGGGTTACTGTGCTTTCTGGGGTATCTCTCTCTGACACTTAATGTCAGGACATAAGTGAACCTTGATGGAGCAAGAGATTGGAAAAAACCTCTTTATGGTAGTGAACTCCAATCACTGTTCTCATAGAGAAGCAATTTGGCTGAAACACTGCAAAAAGAGCCTCTCTCAGAGGTTCTCCTGCTCACTGAAGGAGACAGAGCCAAGAAAATCTTCAAGGTTTCCCTTGTGACTGATAAATGACAATTATCAACCTCATGAAGTCATGGATGCTAGGGTTTTCTATGGGGAGCTTACTACTGCCAGGAAACAGAAGTATGAAAAGTAACAATTACAAACATTAGGTAGCAAGGATAGTTCCTGGCACAAAAGTTGGAAATAATCTCACTGAGATTCCACCAGATTCATTTCAGTTTCATATGTGCCATATATCATGTCATTTCTGTATGTTTGGGAGTGTGATTTTTATTCCTCAAGCTCAGTCCTGTCCAAGCTCATGGCTATGGAAGCTTTAGGACTAAATTCAGTAGAAGAAAGACTGAGTACCCAATTATCAACACACTGAAATTAATTTCTATTAAATTTGACTTCTATAAAATTTCAAGTAGGAGAGTCACTTCAAATCAGTGGACACACTGGCAATTTTGGTTGTCTTTTGCATAATACTTCTCCCTTTCCACACTAGACTTTTTACAAACTGCTCACAGAGACAAATACAGTTCAAATTTCTATCAAATCCTCCATACCCATAATCCCTGATTTATCAGAGGCCACTATGATATTTTTTTCTTTTTTTTTCACTTTAACTGAACTGGATGTGATGACTCAGGAGACAGTGGGTTAAAGAGATGTCCAGCCAGCCTTTTCACATCATTTAAAACAGAAGCCCAGTGTTACAAAATTCACTGCAGGGAAGAAGGCATACCTAGATCAAGGGTCAAATAGTAGTTTTCTCTGTAGTATTAAAATAAGTAGAAAAGACAGGGACTGTAATTACATTAAAACCCTGGCCTCAGTGTAAAGCCAACCACACATTTCCCACTTCAGGAGCAGTAGGTAAAGGTGTTTTGCTTGACATTGTTCTCAGGAGGATTACCGGGCATTTCTCCTTGAAATGTTCCTTTCCAGCAAGAATCATCCTCACTGATGGCTTTTTCCATCAGAGCCCTTGGAGGAAAATCACTGCAGTAGCTGCTGGCTGGAAAGTTCTGGCTCTGCAGCAGTGAGTAACCAGGAGCAAAAGAAGATGGAGTGGTCTGCATATTGCACAGGATCCAGAGTCCAAAAGGAGAGCATATTCTAAGTGTGAACTGAATTTCAATAAAAAAATCCCTTGGAATCCAAACTAAAAAAAGAAAGGTTAATGACATTTACCTCCTAAAAAGGCCAACATGCATATGCTACAGGGGATGTCTTTAAGGAATGACTGATTGGCAACTACTTTCTGTATTGCTTCTGTTGAATCACCAGCTTTATAATGCAGAGCCCTGCATTGTAAGTGACTGCAGCGAGGAGAAAAATACAACTTGCAAATCTTACCTTTCTAGAGAAATCACCAACCAAGCATCCATCTCATGTAGATTTTAACTGTATGGTCTAGTCCTAATCATAGAAGTTAAATCTTGAAATTACAAGACTTTAATGTCTTGAGAGTGCTATTTCCCTTGGTCACTGACTCTGTTCAGTACCGATTATTTTTAGAACACAGAGGTTGCCAGCTCCAAAGGAATGTCCCTAAAGGACTGCCTTAACAGGCACAGTCAGCCAAATAAATTATGACAACAGCTAGCATTACCATTTACCTGGCTGTATAATTTAACTATCCTGACTAATCTATAGCTTGGCAAAGACAGAGTTTCTTGGCCTTCCAGGTGTGCTATAAGGTGAGTCTATTTTCACAGCCTTCCCAATGAAGATCATGACAACTGTAAACTGGGGCACTGATCCAAACTGAGAGTAACTATCATTTGGCAATAGGTTCAACTCGGTGCTTTTCACTCTCTATTTTTCAAGCGTCTGAAAAATACAGGCAATAAAAACCTGCAACTGGCAAATATAATACATCAAATTAAGATCCCAGAGATATACTCAGCAAAAGTACAGTTTGCCCAGGCTGGAAGTTATAAACTACCAGCCCTTAAGGCAGGTGAGAAGAGATCACTTTGAGTTTGGGCACAGAGCACCTCTCACTGAACTAAAGTAAGTTTTCACCTTTGAAGTCCCTCATCACCAGATACTACAAAAGCAGGGTACATCTTTCTTTACAGTGTCCCCCCTTTGGGAGCCAGAAGTCTGCTTGCATTTTGTTGGGTAAACTTAAGTTAGCATTAAATTGCAATTTGGCAACAGCACAATGGTATAGATATCAAGTTTGGTTGCTGAAATAATCACTCTGACTTACAAAGACTGAAGTAAAATTTCTGCTTTTATGACTATATGTTCCTGCTGAAATCTGTATTAGCCACTTGACATCTTGTTCAGGTACACCTACCTGTGCTGCAGATCCAGCTGCACTGCAGTACAGACAGCTCAGCTGCTGGTCAAATTACAACTGGGGATAGTCAATAATTAGACTATGCATGAGATTACACAAAGGTAACATGAAGGAGAATCCTTTGAAAGCCAATGCCATGCTACAATATGAAGGACAAAAGAGAAAAAAGAAAAAAAAAGATAAAAGGCAGCAATTTTCCTGCTTATACCGCTGGGAATGTAATTCCTTCCTTCAGCACAGCAAAGCTCAAAAATATAGGGCACAGTGTGGGACAGAGGGTCAGTGGGTTATACTTATTTATACACTATCTCTATTTGGTTCAAGGACTCCTCTCAGAGAGAAAATAGAAAGAAAAAAAGCCTTTCCCTGGTGGAGCTTTCAGCCAGTAGAAACTGAATATAATATTGTGCTTTTACAACATGCAATAGATCACCAAATTCATTTTTATTGGGGTCATAAGAAAGGATTTTAGCTCTAGACTTCAGAGTTAAGGAGCTGGTGTACGAACCATATGGATTTCTTATATGAAGTGCCTGATTGCTATTGTGGATTTTGGGAGGTTGGGGTGAGGGAAGGGGGATGTTGTTAGTTTTTACACTGAGCTAAGTATTTGTTTGGAGTTCAAGACTAATTATATTGTTGTTGTGTCTGAAAATTATACATATTTAGGTAAAATGAACTTTCACATAAGTCAAAGGAAAGTAATTTGAAAAGGCAAAAAAAGCAAGCCTGTTCTAGCCTATATTTAATATTTTACTATCGTTAGTGCTTTTTGTGATTTTTTAGGGTTTTTTTCTGTTTAGACATTTCTGTACTTCTGTTCTCTCCTCATTTGTTTAGATCATTTCTAGATGTAGGATATAGAAAAGCTGTTACAGATATACCACATTTCACTGTTTGCAGGTCAGCTTTCAGCTCGTGGGTGTTGCCAAGGGACTCTGTGTGTTTGCTCTGATCTTCTGGGCTCATCCTTCCATTCTGCCAGGATCAGTTACAAGGTTTGCTGTTACAACACTGGGTCCAGTGATCTGGGCACTTCACTGCACCCTCGGTGACCTAGAGAAAGAAAAAACCCAAATTACTGATGAGAAATTAAAAACAAACAAATAAACAAACAAAAACCTAAACCACCAAACAAAAAACCCAAAAAAACTCAAACAAAACACCAATGAGAGAAACAGCTCACATTTGATTCACTTTAGGAGAAGCAATTAATCCACATGCACAGAAAACAACAACAAATCTTATCACAATCAAGAGTGCTGAAATAAGTATAGTTGGCATACAGACAAAAATCAGGAAAAATCTTGTATCCCCTCTTTAAAATTCTCCTCTATTCAAAAGTCTTTCAGTGCACCTTGTTAAAAGTTAAAACATTGCCACAAAGTCTTCAGTTACATGAATATGAGTTTCTTCCTCCTTTGCCTAGGATTTTACAGTAGAGAACCGTAGCATTTTCTTTTAATTTTTCTCTTTTTCTTCTCATCATCCTTTGTCTGTGCCTGGGAGAATTCAAGCCATATATATCTAATACCTGGGAGAAAGGTAGAAAAACAAATCTAAGAATATGTACATCTGAAAGGGCTCCTGCATTTGCTGGGGCCATTAGAAGATAAAGATAAACTTGTGAGCCAAGCTAGAACAAAAGGCTAAGAGTCATTTGAGGAAAAGTCTGTGATGTCTTTAAAAATAAACAAAATTAGTACAAATGGAGACTGTGATGATATTTAGCTCCTTTCATAAGAAATAAGCTCCACACTCAAATTAAACTTTATAATAGCCTTTCAGGCAAGCAACAAGTATTGCCCACATTAATTAAAAAAAAAAAACAAAAGCAAAACAAAACAAAAAAAACCCAACCAAACAAAACACATAACTAGCACAAATTATATAGTATATTTGATCCATACTTTTAAAGTATATTGGCCTATACTCAATAAGAATGAGGGACTTTTAAGGACTTTTAGACAAATCTTAAGTTTCTTTCACACAAATGCAAGACACTTCACCTCATTTTTTCTATTCTTGCTCAAAAGCAAACATTGGACTTCAACTATGTAATCCATGTAACAGATTTTTCACACTGGGAGAGCGGTTCCCTGGAGGCAGTTCTGTAAAAGGACAGAGGTCAAACAGTGAGTTTAGGAGCTGTATGCTCAGTGTGTGTCTCAGCAGTAAATCAAGCCTTTTAATTATTTGCAGTCTGTGGCAGAATTTCATGGATATGCCTATTTTGCCAGTGTTCTCTCCTGAGCTCAAGCTCCTCTATTAAAGGGATGGAAATCCAGACTCCAAATAGTAAATCTTTGGACTTCATCAAGAAGCTTTTAAAAGTTCATAATAATAGCCCGAGTACTAAATTTTGTCTTCTTAAATGTACATTAGAATATGACATTCTCTACTATGCTAGTTATTGTTCTCATCTCTTATTCACTGCCAAAAAGTTGACAAGTGACTCCAATCAATCCATTATGTGAATTTTCATCATCTCATTATTTTACTTTGAAAACAAGTATCAGTAAATATCTGCAAAACTATCCTGGTATTTTATTTCATAGATGTCTTAAAAATGCTCCTAAAATATAACACTGACTCATATATAATCTTTTTTTTGCAAGCCTATGCTCACTAATTCTTTCCTTGTTTTCCATATCTATCTGTCAACTGCCTCCTGTCCTAGCTGCTTCCTAGGTAGAGACCACCTTTCTATTCAATATTTTAACAGACTTCTGCAAAAGTCTACTTGGCCATGATTAGAGCTCTTAAAAATGCAGTGATATCTGCTCTATCAGCAATAAATAAATGCAGCATTGATTTCTTTCACCAAAGTGAACAATGTGTTCTTAAAAACCACAGGTCATCTGATTTTGATGATTCACTACAGGCAATCTAGCCAGCAAGATTCAAGTGAACGTTTTCTGGCTCTTGCACTGCTGTTCAAAACATCACCTTTAGTATCCTTTTGTATACAAGCTCTTTAGTAGAGGTAGGTTTAATTTAGCTCTTATCCATATTTATAATGGTCCTCTAATCATCATTGAAAACAATACACCAAAGCTGACAAACTCTGTTACAAGAGCAATTCCAGTAAAATCAGTGGGATGTGCACCTGATTTAGGACTATTTCAAACATTGAGTACTTGCTGACTCCATTCATGTCACATATTGTAAATGTTTATTGCCTCACCCCTCACAGCTTTAAAAAAAAAAAGCTCAGTTACACCATACCCAAAAAGTAAAATAAAATGTATCTTCAAAAACTATGAGATCACTTTAAATCATGTATTATCTTTAACATAAAAGAAAAAGTTTATAGCTTTTTTTTTCCTTACTTTATGTTATCTTGGTATTTCTTCTATGCTTTTATGGCTAGAAACTCACTAATTACTTTTCATATAAAGGCAAGAGTCTTGTGTAAATACATGAGTTGGGGATTTAAGAAAACCCTGAATGTCACAGCACTGTATAATATCATTTTTTAGAAGTTTTGTGAAGAAATAAAAAAAAATTCATTTTTTCTTCCATAAAATATATACTACCATTTTCTGAATTAGACTACTTGATATGATAGTGGTTTTAACTTAATTTGAAGAAGAAGGGCATTCCAGAAGAAAAACTTTATTCACACACAGAAAATTGACAGATGCCTTTTTTATGGGTTGATTGCATTTCAGTGTTTTTCAAGTGATGACTCAGGTTTTCCTTTTATTTATCCACCCACAATTCCTTTCTACATAGCTTATTTTTATTTTTTTAATGGAACATATTAATGAAGTAACATATTTTGCTAGACAAACCTCAATTTCTCCCCTCTCTCTTCCTCTCCCTTCCACAGTTAAAGAGCAAGCACATCCCCAGAACATCACTGTTTATTGAAATGAAAGTCTTTAGGGTATTTTGGAAGCAGGAGACTTCGAAGCTTGAGTGAGGTACTCCACTGGCAAGCTTTCAAACTTATTTGCAGATCAGGACCTCTTTTGTAGAAGTCTCCCCAGGAGGAAGGCAGTTAGACACCTGCCAGTAGCCTGCAGTGGCACCATCCCACTGTGATGTTAATGAGATGAATGAGAGCACTACAGAGAGCTGCAATAATTACAGGGTGAAGAGCTTGTCTTTTCCTGGCCCTCCTCTCTGGGCTGCCTGTTCTATGAAGCAGGGTCTTTTGTAATACTAATTACAAATGTTAATTAAACATTTCTTTGGAATTTTGCCCTCCATTAATAGGTCAGATAAACAGGGAATAGCAATGACAGGCACAAGTCATTATAGGCCACATGAGAAAAATACCATTTATTTGTTCCCTTCCTTTAGTCCCTCCAAAGACATAACTTCTATTTTAATTTTGTTTTATTAAAGAGACACTAAAACCACTGAACTACAGCGTTTCTGCACAGACATAAAATAAAAATAATTTTTACGATAATGGAGTTAAACCTAGTTCTAACGCCCCTTCCGCTACTACTCAATCTAGTCTGTGTTGGTTTGACAAATTTTAAGCATAATCATGACTCTAAGGCTACATAAAGGCCCTTCCAAACACAGATTTAAGGAAACATTCATGACAGCTGTTGATGACAGCACAAAATCTAGTTTGACGTCTTGCTGTGGTATGAGCAGCACATGGCATTCCAAATCGTTGCACTAATCCCATTTCCAACCCAGTCCCTAGAATTACAGGAGTGACCCCTGCTCAGATCAGAACTGAACATAAGCACTTGGCAGATATTGCCACAAAAAAAAAGCTCTACCTCTTGCCTGACAGTCTGCCACAGCCAGATGCTCCCATCCAGGCTCACATGGAGCAGTAATTTAATACATCAACAATACTATCTATTTCAGTGAAATAACTTCTGCTGGCTCATCTTACCTTTCTTACAGTTTACATTGCTAAGGCACAAGAGGGAACCAGACTAGTTCCCAATTTCATCCTTTTAATACTTTTTTTCAAATATGTATATGTGGTTTTAAAAAGTATTTGATGAAACCAAACAGAAACAATTCCTTTTGGAAAGAAATTAAGTCAAAAGATGCACTTTAAGAGCAAAATTAATGCATTCCAACAAAGACATAAAGGAACCTCACTGCAAACATGAGAAGGATGAGAAAGGTTTCGCTCTCAAGATTCATTCTACTGGGCCACGTCACTTGTGAATGCAGTCATAGACTTTCCCTAATTTAATCTTATTTCCATTACCCTAAAATAAGAATTTTACATTTTTTCACGTTGTCAAATAACCCAGAGCTGGGATCTTCTGTTTTGACAGGGAATGAGGACTGGTACAAAACTGAAAAATCCATTATTTTCCCCTACAGTTCCATTGCTTTGACAGCAGCCCACCATATAAGAAATAATGGTGAGACAAAACCTATGGTATATGTCAATATCAGAACCTCTTGAAGGCTTATGACTCAAAGGTATCTTTCTGCATACTATTAGTAACCATGGCATCACTGGCCTGGGTCATCAGACTGCATTCTTACTCACACACTGCTTCATGCCATGGACTGTGAAAATAGTCTGGTTTACAAACCTAAGCATGTCAAGACCTGCACCTTTACAGTGTGAGATGGGTAGATACATGAAAGCTGACCCAGGTTCATTTACAGATTCATAGAATTTACCAAAGTTTTGATTCTTTCATCAGAGTTTTTTGAATAAGTTATTGCCACACCAGCGCGGGCAGCTTTTATTTCACAAAGCAGAAAATGTGACTGTGCAGAGCTCTGAGTACTCCTACAATTTCCAAAATGCCTCAAGATGTATCGTGAGCCTAACTCTCTCCTTAGCAGCCTTCTACCTCCCACTTGCAATGCAAAAAGGCAAGAGGGCTAAGGAAGCCCACACCTTCTTAAGCCCATATGACTCCAAAAAGCTGTTTTGCACTGTTACAGCCTCTGGAAAAATTCAGTCTCATGTACTGGGTTGAGTCAAATAACTGTTTTCTCCTACAGCTGCTAATCCAGCTGTATGTTGCCAGGTCCAATGGTAGAAAGGCAAGGAAATTACCCAGCCTACCACTGAAAACATGGCTGTCATCATTGAGACTGTTCAGAGCTCTTCTACTCTGCTGAAGATCACAGTAACTAGCGAAGTATCTTTTATATCTCTGGTAATCCTTTTATCCTTGCTAATCATGCCCACAATTTCAGCTGAGTTTGCAATTGTTCTAAAATGATTGTCAGGATCCTAAAACTAACTTGCAGCTGAGGAACAACATAGAATTTAAACAGAAAAGCCACAAACAAGAGCAAACAAAACACTGATGCAAATAAGACTCTTTTGATTATCCACGCTGATTTCTTAGCACAGGCCATTGATTTTTAGTGCAGAAATCCGTACATCAGTCCATAGCTTCTGAATTAGAGCATACAGTTTTCAAAAGACGTTAATTTTTGATCTACAAACTTCGTTTGATATTTATTATTCAAAGTATCATTTAAGAAGTTGCTATAATGATAAAATATATCAATGATTAAAATTTACCTTTCTAAAATCTGAATTTATCTGATTTCAGCTTCTGGACACTTGATCTTGTTACACCTTTTTCTGGTAAGATTAAAGAACCATAGTTTTCTTCCCATAGATATTTTCAGATCATGACACAGTCACCTGTCAACCTTGTCTTTGATAAAGTAAGCAGATTGATTTTCTTAAAATCCCACACTGGAAGAGCATGGTTTTCTTCAGCAGAGGGAAAATATTAATTCCTAGAAGTTCTCTAAAACACTGTGATAGAGCTAGGTAGTTTCACAGAAGAAGTGTCACACTTCCACCTTTGTTTTTAAACCATACTATAAAAGTTAATACTGACATAGCAGGAAGCTGGACCTCCAGAGCATTCACTCAGTCTGAATTAACCTATAATCCTATAATTCCTAAATTCTTCAAGGCAGCAAACAAAGTAGAAAGTGGGTTTAAAAGCAAGATAGACATTATGTTTCAGTAGAAGGCACTCCAATTAATTCAATATGTCCACAGTATGTTACACCACCTGAGGCTCTAGAGCAATAGAAAAGATATGAATCATTATGGTCCAAGCATAAGTCTGATTTAATAGGGAGATACTACATTTTTATATATATATATATATATATATATATATATATATAAATAAAAGGAAAATAAAATATTTTTTACTATAATAGTAACTAGTCTTCTGAAGTCTATTTTATAAATACTTTAGGAGACATACCAATTGCTCTACACAATATGGCAGTTCCCATCTTTCATAGAAAATATTTCAGTCTCTATAAAAAACTGAATATTTCAGAAGTAGTTTTACAGACCAGTTATTTAGCTTCATTTCCATTACATTTTGCAAGATTCCACAATAACTTTGTGCTGAATGTGTGGCAATTTCTTCCATTTCATTTTGTAAGACACCACAATAACTGTTTGCTTAAAGTATGGCAATTTCCTGGGAAAGCACTTTTCACTGGACAAGACTTTGATCATGCCAGGGAATGTACCAGCAGCACATTGCAGCAAAGCCATGTCAAACTTTTCCCAACTATGACATCAGATCAGATGTATTAACCTAACTCATCTGTCTTGCAAGTCTGTTCCAGAAGGCTACGTCATATTCATGCCAACTTTAACTTCTGTCAGTGTCATTCTAAGGAGTCTTAATTTTTAAGATAAGTTACTACATTGGATTACTGCTTTGAGTGCAGGTCTTTGGATCAGAAAGATCCAAAAACCTGCAGTCTGGGTAAGTCTACACCATTGATCATGTGTTGCCCAGGGTCTATGTTCAAAGTTAGGCTTTCAATCCTTCTCTATTTACCTCATTTGGGTTTGCATTGCAGGACAGTTTTGGAATTGATGATCTGTAACCCTTTTGGATGAAATCAAGCCAGAATATACATTTTCAGAACTGGTATGAAGGAACTTCCCCACAAACACTTAAAGGGTGGCCACAGGGTTTTGCTCTGCAGATTCACTTTCTAGTACAGACATAGCTTTTCACTAATTTCATCCTATTTTGATCACTTTCATCTGTCAAAATAATCTGAGAGAGAAACACTTTGGAACCAGCTGTTTGTAACTGTTTTATATGGTTCTCTCTTTCCAGTATGGTTATAAGGTAGTTTGAATTTATTCAGCCTAGTATGTACACGTGCCTTTGGGTATAGAAGGCTAAGGAAGCAGGAATTGCTGTTTAAAGAAGGAAGCACTTCATGCATGTGCTCAATTTTTCATAGAATTTTTTAGTCTGATACTTACTATGAATGCATGGTTTATTCTGTCTGTGGTTAACACTCCCTATATACCTATGGCATGATAAACTGTAATGACTTCATAATAAAGTTAAAAGCCCAACATAAACGCGGAAAAGCAAGAAATTTCAGAGGTAAGATTTGAATTTCATCCCTTACCCTTATTTGTACTGGAACATTATGAAACAGCGATATCCTAGTTTCTGAAGTACAAATATAGAAAATGTAAGGACAGAAATATAAACAGTGAAAACCTTGTATGTTCTGACAGGTTCCCATATTTCCTCAGAACTTACATGTTTTCTATCATTTTGCAAATTCCCAAAACAGTTTTGCTAAAGCTTTTTCCTTTATCTCAATGATAGCTGCACCATTTCATAATGAGCCAGGGCTAAAATAATTTAATACATTTTTGAAGAAAAAAAAATCTAGTTGATGGTTTACACTACAGAAGAACATGTTAATAAAAGAAGGATGTCAAACAACGTATCATCACTTTATGCTGAGTCGTGGTGCCTGTAACATAAATGCCATGAAAGAGCTCTGGAGTTTTTGGTTGTCTTATTTTTTTGGGGTGTTTGTTTGCTTGTTTGCTTCTGGTTTGGTTTGTTGTTTGGTTTTTTTTAATCTGGAGAAACAGTAGTATACTTTAAGTAAAGTCTCATATAAGGTTTTTCCATTTTGCCTTCTCCTTTCACCTATAGACCTAATGCTCTGGCAATAGGTTATGCAAAACATAGGCTTACTTATTGATTATTGGCATAAAAATAGGATTTGGATACCACGATCTGCCAGTGAGTACTCCCAAAAGCATGACCTTACAAATTGAACTTAGGTGCCTTGCTTTCTATTTGTATGACCTAGCAGGCTTTCTGCGGTTTTCAAAAGCTAGGAGCAAAAGTCCAGCTAAAATTCAACAGCTCTGCAGGTACTCAGCATTTTCCAAAATCAGACCCAAATCACATTAGTTATACTGAGTTAGGATCTTGGTGTCCAATCTTTTACATAACTTTCCAGCTCAGCTCTGCAGTCTGATTCCCCACCATACAACTTTCTCGCTGAAAGTGAAAGACAATGTTTTTTCTACCTTTTCTACTAAATCTGATCCTGTTGGACAAGATTTGTCTGACCTGTTATGAAAAGCTTCCAAACTGCTGGAAGGGAATTTGGCTGAAAGATTACCACTAAGTGCTCATGCAGTGATTTGAAATTTTGCCTGTGAATTATTAGAGAGTGGTTATAGGAATAAAAGAAAATCTAAATACCAGGATGTCAGGGATTCCATTTCCCTGGTAGGTACTACTTATAAATTATTATGTATTATATTCCAGTCATTCATATTCCTTTGGTGCAGAACTGTTTGGGTTTTTGGCTGATATGATAGATAATATTCTATTCTTACTGGAATAACATAGAATTCTACAATCAGTTAATTGGAAACATCATTTCTAAAACAGACTATAAATCTTTCAACAAGTATTTTCATAGGAAGAAGATTCACTGAGGATATAAAGTCCCAGAATTTTATTTGAGATAGGAATTTCAACTTAAAAGTCTGAAAACTCTCAAAATTTAAGCCAAGATTTAGTTCTAAATTTTTAGATGAAAAAAATTGTATTCTTTTAGGGCAAATGCATTTTCCATACTGCAAAATAAATGAGGGGAAAAGAGATTGATATTATTGTTCATTCTGTGTAGGACATCACAGTTTTGAAGAAACACCAAGCTGAATGATCTTTTTTCAGTACTTCATATATTGTCAGAATCATTCAGAATTGTGATGGTATGCTCCATCCTCCCCTCCCAACCTGACCTGTATTCCCTATAACTCTGTTCAACTCATTACCACTAGTGGTGATGGCAATGGATGTGTCTGGTTGTGATGACTGCATCTGACTCATAGTAGATTCAGGGGAGAGAGGTAATACAATTAGCCAAGGGCTAATCTAAGCAACAGCAACTGCCCCCACCTTGTCCTCTAGGCACCAAAAAAGTAAATGTACCTTGTCACTGAATCTTGTTAATAACACACACCTTTACTTCCCTTAACCATAATGCTGATCAAATTGACTCAAGTCAGACTTGGAAGAAACTAATTTCTGTAGTCAATATGCAAATATATCTATAAGTCAATTTCTTACTCCACAAGTAGCAGACAGGACCTGTTTAGCTCTCCTGCTAAACAGAAGGATCGCCCCCTGAGTACAGATGCCTCTCAAGGTTACTCCTTGAGGCTGAGAGATTCCTCGCTTCAACAGATTCTCAGTGATTAATAACATGCTAAACTTGAAAATCTTAGCTAACTAATACAAATGATTGATTATGCACATATAATCCTTTAGACATAAACCATTGACCAAGTTGGGACTAAGTCTGGATCCAGATGCATACAAATTCCCCCCTGAGAAGGAATTTATAACCCAAGGGAGTCCTTTCTGAACCTCATGACTCAGTCAGAGGGTCTCCCTGATAATTTTGCCTGATCTTGTATTTATGTAGCAAATAAGCAAATGGACCTTGTCCATAACTGAATCTTGTTAACATCTGTCACATTTACTATCAAACCTTGTTAAATCTCTGTTATCTATGAACATATTACTACTTCTCTCTCACAAATAAACTGTGTCACATCATCCACAACAAGAATTACATAGATAACTCTTCACATTAATGCAGTCCATGAAATTCTGGCCTGAGATAGAATAATGAAGAATTGTTTCAATTCACTCAGAGATTCAAAGGCAAAAAAATCATGCAGAATAGGGGTATGATAGGAAGAGACTTGTATCTTCAGGAGAGCTCTTCAAGGCTTTTTCCACAGCTAAACGATTTCTTTAGTTGGTGCATTGAGGAAATCTGCCTTAAATTTATCTTTTCACAGAATATTTGTGGAAGAAGTTAAAACCTTTGTTCTCAGAGAAATGCAAGAGCTGCAATTACACCAAACCTCTTATGGAGTATCCTGGTGGGAAGAGGGCCCTTGTGCAATGTCCTTTTCTGCACACCCAAGCAGAAGTCAGGCATAATATATTTCAGAATGAGGATGCTGAATTCCCCTGCTACTTCAGCAGAACAAATCAGGATGCATACTTCCATCTTGCGTATCAGGATGAAAGAGATCAGTGCTGGAGACAACGGAGAAATCAAGCAAACTCTGCACTGAGAAAAATGTGATGGGGAAACCCCATTGTCTGCTGAAGAAAATTCACTGTTCTTTCTGTCAGAAGTTAAATCCTATGAGTGTCAAATATACTTGATAAACAGAATTTTATGGCTAGGAGCTTTACTTCTTTCTGCTATGTGCTGGACTCCTGTCCATTGGAAGACAAAGCAGGTGCTATGAAATAACTTCAGAGAGCTTTACAGCTACAGTGAATGACAAAGATATACCGAGGGATTGGGACTCAATCATTTGCATTTAATTGCTGAACCAAAAAGTACAGTTTGTATACCCACAGGTCTTCAGCCTGGTTATATGGGAAGAGGAGACTGATAAACAAGACCGTGTTGTGAAGGCCTGAGTAGAAATTAACAAACTCTGGTTCCAGAATGGAAATGCAATTGACATTATTGCAAGGCAGGAGAGGGTGGCTTTGTACCAGGCTGGAATGGTGTCATTTCAGTGGTCTAATGGTGGTCTTTGGGTGGAGCCCTGACACTGGGTCTATGTGAAAGTCTTTCCATGAGATAAAATGAGATACAACCACTAAAAAGAAAAAAGGAGGCCAAGCCACAGCCTTTCACCTTACTGTTGACAGTGTAGCAAGGTGAGTCATGGTACAATGGATATGGTGTGTCCTCAAAAGTTCATCTCGTATCCTAACTTGGAGTCTCAGATGTAAAGCAGTGCTGAACCTTCAATTATTATTACACCAGTACAAAAGCCATTGCCTCAAGAGGCTCTAATTCTCACTCACTACAGGTCCTGGGCCCCACACAGAGACCAAAATTAAAGATGACTAAGCTCTGCCTTCACCCTTCAGGAAGCAAATCTTAGAATGACCACCAAGGCAAACTGACACATCAGAGGGAAATCTAGCCTGACAGGGCCAGCACTAAAGACATTTCAGGGATAAAGAGAGGTCTGTCTCTACTCTACAGAGCTATTGATCCACTACTATGCAACAGCACTGAATTCTTCCTTACTGGAGCAGCCTAGGTAATCACAAGCAGAGTTAAGAAGCCCTCTCACACAAGCCTGAGAGGGCAGAATCGAGGCAAGAGAGTTCTCTGATAGTGTTCTTTTAGGAGATGTTTTCATATATAATGCTGAAATCACACTCTAATGAGTATTTCAATTCTCACTAAAGGTAGAAAAGGTACCCAAAATATGTTTTTGCTGTTTTCTAGTACGTCTGCTGGCTGCTCTGTATTACCCATCAGAAGCAGCTCTCGTTCTTAGTGATATGGGAAGTTCGGGTCACCTCCTGTTGGTCCTTTGTCAGATAGAAAAAATTCAGAATCTGTTGTCTTCCCTCTCCTTTTTTTTTCTTTTTCCTTTTTTTTTCCTCTGAAGAGTTTGAATGGCAGACTAAAGAATAATCCTGTTCACAGCTAATGTGCAGTAACAGGATTGAGCAAAAAAACTCACTTAAGAAGCTTTCATCTGGGTCAGGACATACTGATACCATATTTCAAGATATATGTTCCTTACACTTGTGTAAAGATAAATGTTTCAACTGTAGGCTTAAAAAAAAAAAAGGAACAAAAAACGCCACCACCACACTCCAGTGACACTATTACTGAACTATTAGACCGCATGAAACAATTTCCACCCATGTTTGCTTTCATCACAGATTATGCAGTACTGCAAACTACTTAGAATAAAGTGCTTCCTTCCTATACAAAACCAGCTATGTAATAAGGTTTATTTTCACTACTTTTGAGTGCCCAAAGAACAAGACAAAGTCACTGTAACAAATTGTGCCTGTCATAATGTCAAAAAAAAGGAACCACACTTTTAGGTCATAGCCATCTCTGACAGCCACGGATCCAGTCATCTCTCTGGGACAAGACAACTTTTGTGTCCCTCAAAGTCTCTTCTATACTGGATCACTAAAGCCACTTCATTACGGGGTATCAACACCACGGCTTTTATCTCTCACCAGTTTCTTCCCTTCCAATAGTGGCAATATGGGTCTTTCAGACAATGACATCAAGGGAATCCAACAAGATCTGATCCCCCAGTCTTCAATATCCTGTAGAATGCTGGAGAGGAGTGATTCTTTATTACTTCTTATTACAGTTCTAAGTATCATTAATGATGAAAAAATAGTAAGAAAATAGTAGCTGTTAAGCTGGCTGTTATAAAGGAGATAACTTTGCCAGCCCAGCTTATAAATGGCCTGACCCAGCTTTTCAGAAGCCTTAATATCAGTCTTGCATAGCTTGCACAATAACACACCCATATTATGCATTTACTTTGACTCTAATCCCAAAGTCTCAAGAGTAAATTCAGCTCTTGCTTGTATATGTGTGTATGCACAACTCATCTGGTTTGACTGATGTCGAAACTTCTCATACAAAGTTTAAATTTATCTAATCCAACCTTCTGTTGAAATCGGGGTCTTGTATCAGGTTGTGCGGGTACCTGTCCATTAGAGTATCTAATATTTCCAGTGAACATTATCCTATCATTTTTCTATGCAACGTATGGGTTCTCGTGGTTCTCTATCTCCCCACGGTCGGACGGAGGTGCCCTGACACTGTTCATACCTGTCACCTTTATCCTGTCACCACAGAGTTATGAGAGTTCTTCCATTTTATCTGTAACTACCTTTTTAAGATTGGAAAACTGAGTAGTGCCAGACAAAGCCTTCACTTCTCTAAAATGAATAAACCAGACTTCTTCATGCTTCCTTCATATATCAAGTTCTCTAATGCTCTAATTACCTTGGTGTTACCTCCATCAAATCCTCTTTAATTTTTCAATGTCTCCTGAACTGGAGGATCAAAAGTCGACACAGTATTCCAGCTGTGGCATATTCAGCACCAAGTAGCATGAAAAAATCACATCTCAATCTCCTAAGTGTACTGCAACCCACTAGCCTGTTTGCTTTCACTGATGGAAAGCTGCACCGCTGGGTCATGTCCAGCTTGCTGTCTACTGAGACTCACAGGTCCTTCTCGGGTGCAATAGACTCCAACCAGTCAGACCCTTGTCTGCATTACTGTTTGGGATTATTCCAGAGCAGGTGTAGAACTTCACATTTGTCTTTTTTAAAACCTTGTTGAGCCAACCTTTCGGCCTGCTGATATCTCTCAGTATCGTGGCTTTTCCTTCTCACATTCTACTTCTCTTCCCAGTCTTGCATCATCAGCAAGCTTGGCACAAATGTATTTGAACCTTTCATCCAGATTGTTTATAAAAGTTGAATAGTATCAAACCCAGGGTCAGTCCCTGAGGAACTCCACACAAGGCCATTTGCATATTTGACTTTGAGCTACTAGCCAACAACAACTTTGAGCTAAGCAGCCTAACCGGTTCTCCATGCAGCTTGTGGCACTTATCTGAAATACGTCTTCCCAAGCTGTTAACAAAGGTGTTGTGGGACACCATGACAAATGACTTGCTAAAATTATGGTAGATGCTATTCAAAATACTACTGTCTTTTATTGACCTAGTTGTTTCATAACACAAGACAATGGGACACACCTTACGCTTTGTAAATCTGTCCTGGCTTTTTCCAGTCACTTATTCTGTCACATCTTACAGACTTTGTGTCCAGTTTTTACAGAAGGTTTGTAATTTGACCCTGCTGTACTGTTAGTGGTTTGCCATTTGCTTTGCCACGGCTTCCTTTCACAGGGACTTGGGGCTAACTTTAGTTGTTTAGACCAGTGCAAGGAAGGCATCAGACATGTCACCCTTTTCTGTGCCATTTTTGACCTAACTAGTCAAAGCCATTCAGCAGCAGGCTTGCATCTTCCTTGTACTTCTGGATGCTACTATCATACCTATAGGAGCCTTACTTGTTTTCACAACATATCTTGAAAGCTACCTCAAAGTCTTCCAACACTTCTGAAGTGCTTTGGCTTCCAAAACAGACAGTTCTAGGATCCTTCCTAACAGCTCCATAAGTCAAGTTGAAATCTGTTCTTATGAAGTTCTGGGTCTTTATTCTCCTACTTACCTTTCTCTGGCTCTTAAGGTGTTAAACTCTATTACTATACAGTCCCTGCAGCCCAGGCTGCTGTTGAAGGCCATAATAATGGGTATTGTATCTATCTACAGGCTATATAGGGTAACAAGAGGATATAGACCTATGAAATAACAGCACCTACAGGCCATAAAACTACATGTAAATTCCTTGTCCAGCTACCTTTGAAAGGTAAGTTTAATAGCATCATTAAGTACTGGAAAATACAGGCCTTATCCTTCTCTATATGAGCTCAGTAGGAGTCTCCAGTTAAACTTCAGTCTGCAGGATAACTTGCAATTAGTCACATGATTCACATGACTGTGCCAAACCTACCTTTCCCACACTCCATATTTTGAGCTACAAATTATTTCTCTGCAAAAATCAGAAAAATGGCAAATGACACAACTCTACACCAATGCATGCAGTATGGGTAACGAACAGGAGGAGCTGGAAGCCATGATGCAGCATGAAAGTTATGACATAGTCCCAGTCACAGAAACGTGGTGGGATGATTCGTGTGACTGGAGTGCTGCAAGGGATGGCTATAAGCTCTTCAGAAAGACAGGCAAGGAAGAGGAGGTGGTGGGGTGGCTCTGTACATTAGGGAGTGTTTCAACTGTACAAAGATCAAGGATAGTGATGATAAGGTTGAGTGCCTATGGATGGATAACCAGGATAACCAGGATAAGCAGCTGGCTGATGTTTCATGATTGCTAAGCCTTGCTCTTGTGGAAGACTTTAACTTGTCAGATGTCTGCTGAAAACTCAACACAGTGGAGAGCAGGCAGTCTAGGAGGTTCCTGGAGCATGTGAAAGATAACTTCCCAACACAGCGGATGAGTGATCCCACCAGGGGGTGGCTCACTAGACCTGCTGTTTACAAAGGGAGAAGGGCTGGTCGGAGATGTGGTGGTCAGAGGCCATCCTGGGCACAGAGAAGATGAAATGATGAGTTTTTGATTCTTACTGAAGTGAGGAGGAGAATCAAAAAACCTCTACCTTCAACTTCCAGAGGGCAGATTTTGGCCTATTCAGGACACTGGTTCAGGGGGCCCCTTGAGAAACAGTCCTTAAAAACAAAGGCGTCCAAGAAGGCTGGACATACACTAAGATGAAAGTCTTAA